GTATAGAATAGGGCATTTTGAAGATGTTTTGTTTTTCCAAAGTAATCTGCCAGTCAAATCATTTTGAGAACCACTGTCCTTGTGTCTTGAAAGCATTTTAAATATGACTAAATATTTTGTCTTGGTTTTCTTTTATAACCTGCCCCAGGCTCCTGCTTACATTCGGGAATGTGCCAGATTGCACTATTTGAGCTCCAGAACTCAAGCATCAAAGGTAAGAATAGGAAATTGCTCTTAGCCTAAACAAGGAGAGAGGTAATTGAAATTAGTGGAGTTTTAAAACAAAGTCTTAAATCAAAGCAAAGCCCTGGAAGATAAAATGTTTTTAAATATAGTAGTTCAAAATTATCTAGTCATTTTGAGAGAAGGGAAAAGACTGAGAAGAAAGCTATATGTTGAAATAAAATTGCCCGTCCATACAGTCTTCTTGTCTGTTCTCAGAGGTGTCCTCCACATACGAGTGATGGCATAGTCTGTGTGTTTAAAGGTTTTTGTAAAGCCTCTATGCATTCTTATAGCTTGTGATATAAACAGCCTGTAAATAGCAAATGTAGTAAATATTTTTATGGTAATAAAGTACAATTTTATGTAATGCATGCTTATTTCAGGTTCAGTAGTAAGGGAACACTGTCAAATAGCTAAAAGACTTGAGACCACATGAGCTTAGAAAGCAAATATGTGTTGTTTATTAGCAAGATCACATATGATTATTGAGCTTTAAAAGCTAGGAGTTTAAAAAATTTCACTAGTACTTTTGGTGATTTCTGTTTAGTCTGCCTTGGTTAGAAACTTAAGCTGTCAACTTACACTGTTTTTTCTACTCNGGTCTCTTCTGTTTCTATTTGGGTCAGAACTGTTATCTTTGTGGGCACCTGCTTCACCACTTGGGCTGATTAGGTTCTTCCCTGAGCTTTTCTCTTGGATAAAAAATGATTGATTGTTCTGTGTGCTCTATCACTTATTCTGGGGTCTTGTTTTATCCCAGATTTTTTCTTTTGCTTTGTTGTTTTCTTGTTCTCAGTCTTCTTCGGGTGGAGTTTTCACACCTTAATCCTCAGATCCCATGTTGCTTCATTCTGTATTCTCTGTATTTTTTTTTCCCCCCGCTCTACCGTTTTTCTTAAAATTCCTCTTAACTATTTGTAGTTCTGTCCTCTACTATCTGACCCAGTCTGGTTTTCTCTCTCTCCAACATGAGTCACCACATCTTTTCCTAGGGACCTATACATACTATTAAGGCCAATTCCCGTTTTATCTGGGAAGTCTTTTTGTTTCCTATGAATTGTAAAATACTTAAGACGCTCAGATTTTCATTTAAAGCAGTCTGCCTCTGGCTCTCTTTCTGGGTATCCCTTCAACTATATTATCTTTTTTGGAGTAGAGTTTTTGTTTTGTTTTTAAAGTTTTATAGAATAGGTGGTGTTTGTTTGGAGGAAATTTCTTTTGGTCTTGAGCTCGCTTTATAGTTGTCTAAGTTAAAAATTAAGCTATAGATATCATAATGTCTTTGTCACAAGACTTTTAAAAAACGTTATTATGAAATTTTTCAAACACAGAGAAAAGTACAAAGGGTAAGACAGTGAACACTCATATAATTCTCCATCAGATTCCGCAAATGTTCACCTTTCTCTCTCTCTTTATATTCATACATTTTTTTTGCCTGAACCCCTGACAGTAAATTGCAAACATCATGATACTTCCCCCTAAATACTCATGCATACATCTCCTGCGAATAAAAATATTCTCCGAATAGTCACAGTACTATTATCACATCTAAGGAGACTAACAAGAATTTCATATCAGCTGATATTCAGTACAAATTCAAATTTCTTCAATTGCTGTATTTCATAGCTGCGTTTTTTTTTTAAAAAAATAAGCTAGTTGAGGTTTATGTATTGCTTTCGATTATTATGCCACTTTTAATCTGGAACAATCATTATGCTTTTTCTTCATGTCAATGATTTGTTGAAGCATTCAGGCCAATTGTGTTGTAGAATATCCACATTCTATATTTGTCTTATTGTTTTATCAAGGTCATTTAACTTGCTCGTCTATCCTCTTCTATATAGTACCTGTAAACTGGAGGTTAGGTCTAGAGGCTTGATTAGATTTAAGTTAAGCAATTTTGGCAAAGATACTTCCTAGGTGATGTTGTGTATATCGTATTGCATCACATGAGTAAGTACAGACTGTCAGATTGTCTCACTCTTATGCTAATTTTGCTAGCTGCCACATATCTCAATTATAAAGGTACATTTTTTTCCCCTTTATAACTTAAGTAACCTGCACAGGGAGATTGCATAATGTAATGATTTTAGCACCCATTGATAATCCTGCTGGAATCTATGATTACATTGGGTATTACAAAATAGTGATTTTTAAAAATTCTATTTATCTTTATTAGCTGACTTTCTTCTTTGGAGAAGAGCTTTTCTTTTATCTGTCTCATTCTCTCTCTCTCTCTCTCTCTCTCTCTCTCTCTCTCTTTTATGAGTATTTCTATAGACTCATAGATTTTTAGTCATTCAAAGTATTAGTCAATTTCAGTACTAATTTTGTTATTCAAATTGTTCCAATTTGGCCAGTTATTGTCCTTACAAGCTGGTTTCTGCTGTGTCTTTTTGACAGAACTCTTATTAGCCTTTGAGTGTTTCCTTTATGGCACAAAATGTCCCTAGCTCACTTTTTTCTTGCTCTGCCCTGGGCCTGGAATAAATTATTTTGTCCAAGGA